CACAGTTTTTTAAATGGTGCCTTCATATCCCCTAGTGTCTTAGCTACACTAAATCTACTCATCCACCCCAGCAACTATACTCCATCTAAATCAACATTTTAAAGCATCATGGAAATCCACAAAGACAGAAGAGAAGCCTTTGCTCTCATTGAGTTTTCATGCTAACGACGTGTGGCCATATTGCTTTGGAATGAATTGCAGGAGCTGGTGGTGAAATAATTAAACTGTAATGGTTCTCTGAATATTATTTCGAATAATGAAACAAATCAAATCATTGGTGACCAGCTGGCAGCATCTATTCGGTTCTGCAGACGCATCGATCCTCCAGTCATTTGGCCCAGAATACCTAATGAGTTAACCACACCTGGGCTAACAAACTAATTTCATAGACTTTCATTTTAATTGGTTGTAATGATTCAACTGTTAGTAATGAACTTGCCACTACAGGACGACGCTCAAGTGTTGCCGCAGTCGAGCAGACTGAAGAAAAACAAAAGGTAATGCACCTTAAAGGCCCTGTGCAGTCAAAAATGTGATTCCCCTGTGTTTTATATATATTATGAAGTTGGAATAATACTGGGAAATTGTGAAAATGCCCTTTTAGTGTGGGAGCTGTTTGAAAAGAAATGTCAGCCTGTTTTGGTGGGATGGAGTTTTGACCTGCCTGGTGATATCACCAGGTGGGAAAATTAGTTAATAGACCAATAAAAAAGAGAGTTCCAAACTTCTCTGCCAACAACGGCAAATTTTTTGTTTTCCCCTCCCCCCTCAGACCACTCCCAGACAGTCTTAGCTAAATTATTGCTTGAGAAATTGCTGTTTGCTAATAAGCTATTTTTGTTTATTTTTGACCATTTTAATTGAAAACAATCACAGTAAGGTACTTAATTGTTACCCAGAAATTATTTAATATTGAGATAAAAAAAGATGCATTGGACCTTAAAGTGCAAAGCAGTAACTACTTACAGCAGTGGTCAACTGGTCTGTCTCCAAGGCATTCGTAGTCGAACACCAAACATTTCTGTAAAAAACAACAACGTTCCTTTTATAATTGTTTTGCTATTGGCGGTAGGTGCAGTTGATTCAGCAGCCATAGCGCCGGGAAGGCAAAGTGTTCCCATTTTGAACCATTTCATGTGTCTGAAGATAGAACTCCGCCTACCCAGCAGGCCCAGAGAGTGAATCAAGTGCACCTATAGGCCTACCACTGAACAATCAAATAGCTCAGATCACTGTGTCTGCACAGTTTCTTCAAGCCATAGGCTGTAAAAAATAAGCCCGAACGCATAGCAAAGTTGATACTGTGAGATTTCAAAACTTGTAAAAGCATGACTAGAGAGAGACTTAATGAATACAGCAAAGAGCTGCTGTTTTTATTAGTAAGTTCATGTTTAAGTTGTTATTCAGCACTGTCAACACTTTGTTCAACACTTTTATAAGCCATAAAATGCGCATTCTCCCTACTACCACTCACGCTACAACCATCACTGCAGCTGCAATGAATAAGTATAGCAAAGTGTTTTGATAAGCATGAATTGTTATTATTAGCGGCTTGTGTCTTTTTTAATATTGAGGAATATTTCACTTTCTCTGGTCATAGGAGTAACAACATGAATTGGTGCATGAGGCAGAAATATTGCAGTGCGACTTGAGTTTCGCAATCAGCTGGAAGACTTGTGTCCCCTTTTCTCAGCGGCGGGAGGGAGAGCGGAGGGACGGGTGAGCCTCACCGCTGCTCTCTCCTTCCCTCCCCTCAGACTGACCATCAGATGCAGGCCGTCAGTCCAGTAAAATAAAATAAAAAGCGAATTATTATGTTCACTCAGCTGTGCCTCACAAGTAATAAAACAAATTATCTATTACCAGTGTTATCATATACCAAAAATGTATTTCAAAATGGTCTGAGAAGAATAACCTTGTCAGGGCAATTCAAGCATAGCCAATATGCAGTGATAATGTATTGGGCCTATAGCCTACTGCACAAACCTCATTGCTACAGAACTGTTATTAGCGAATAAGGTAGCTAGGGTAGCAGGTAGCCTAGCTTTAAAAGTGTTGGGCCAGTAACCGAAAGGTCGCTGGTTTGAATACCCAAGCCGACAACGTGAAAAATCTGCGTGTCTGGTGTCTGTGACAATAAACCTATCTCAAATCAAATCAAATTGTATTGGTCACATGCGCCGAATACAACAGGTGCAGACATTACAGTGAAATGCTTACTTACAGCCCTTAACCAACATTGCATTTATTTTTAACTAAAAAAGTAAAAATAAAACAACAACAAAAAAAGTGTTGAGAAAAAAAAAGAGCAGAAGTAAAATAAAATAACAGTAGGGAGGCTATATATACAGGGGGGTACCGGTGCAGAGTCATTGTGCGGGGGCACCGGCTAGTTGAGGTAGTTGAAGTAATATGTACATGTGGGTAGAGTTAAAGTGACTATGCATAAATAATTAACAGAGTAGCAGCAGCGTAAAAGGGATGGGGTGGGGGGGCAGTGCAAATAGTCCGGGTAGCCGTGATTAGCTGTTCAGGAGTCTTATGGCTTGGGGGTAGAAGCTGTTGAGAAGTCTTAGCAGAGAGAACAGTCTATGACTAGGGTGGCTGGAGTCTTTGACAATTTTGAGGGCCTTCCTCTGACACCGCCTGGTATAGAGGTCTAGGATGGCATCTATATAGTATTCTAGGTAAAACTTTATTTGAAGGGCCCCTACATAAGGGCTTCATAACTCATTCATACATCATTCATAAGTAGTACATAAGAATTTCGTAAATGCTGAAGTCCAGTTATGTCAACAACCGCAAGTTGCCATTTTCAACTTGTGTTGTCTTGTGATTATTAGGATAACGTATCCACTATAAGTAGAGGAGGACTGATGATGCATTGCAGTACCATAGGATCCGTAGTTGGTGTAGTATCAAGCAGTACTATGAACCATGGCCAAGGTCTGTGTTTGCTATGGTTAAACATACAACTGCATTGTTCCCATTCACATGTCCTTTCTCTTCTCTGGGCTTTGGTTGTTGTTGTTCCTCCTACTCTCCTTTAAACAAAGACATCACAGTTGTCTCTGTCTATCTGCGAGGGCACCTATTCCCTGTTGCTATCCGCCGTGTCACAGTGAGTTTGTCTATCTCCATTAAGCCATTGATGCCCTGGAAACCGCCAGGCCTCTATACCCAGCCTAGCCTTAATGCATACCCATTTTACTATTCATTCCATCTTATTCCCCTCTATCTCTGCACTTGCTGGCTGCCGATAGCGCGGCGGAATCACAGAATTACTCTGTCATAGGGAATGACAGTGCTTTGCATTTCGAGAGGACATCTTGCCGATATGTTGCAAAGTCACCATCCCTTGTATTATCTGAATATGAGGGGATGTTGTTTCGCTCGTGTAGTGTTAAAAAACCTATGGCTTCGTTTGAGGTGACTGCTAATTGCATGTGTTAATTGTGTGTTGGTTGTTATGATGTAACACTGTTAATTTTAGCAGTTTGCAGACACATGGCCTGACATGACACCTATAGTGTGCAACAACATAATCGCAGCAACACAATCAATCACTGTTACATCATGCATTGTCAGACAACTACCCATATAATTATCTGATATTATCATAATACTGACAGCGTTTCATGTTTTCAACAATACCTTGACACCCAGTCAAGTCACACTTGCACCCACGGCGTTACACTTTCATGCTTATGAAAGTGGGATCTTGCTTATCATGACACATTTCCTTTCACTATAATATATAATATACTGTATATATACACTGAGTGTACAAACATTAGGAACACCTTCCTAATATTGAGTTGCACCCCCTTTTGCCCTCAATTCGTCAGGGCAAAGCGTTCTACAGGGATGCTGGCCCACAGTTGTGTCAAGTTGGCTGGATGTCCTTTGGGTGTTGGACCATTCTTGATACATACGGGAAACTGTTTAAGGGGGAAAAACCCAGCAGCATTGCAGTTCTTGACACACTCAAACTGGTGCGCCTGGCACCTACTACCATACACCGTTCAAAGGCACTTACATTTTGTCTTGCCCATTTACCCTCTGAATGGCACACATACACTATCCATGTCTCAATTGTCTCAAGGCTTAAAAATCCTTCTGTAGCTCTTTCCTGCAGTCAAATGACCAAATCGCCCTTTAGTGGCGTCATGGGTGGAATGTTTAAGCCCATAACCATGTGTGTGAGGTGTATACTTTTGTTTCAAAGTAGATTTGTTTAAGACTACCAAGAACCACTCTGTGTGACCCTGATTTAGCCCACTGCAGTAATTAACCTGACATCAATAAGGGATCATAGCTTTCACCTGGTCAGTCTATGTCATGGAAAGAGCAGGTGTTCCTAATGTTTTGTACACTCAGTGTATGTCTTTTTTTATTGTCAGATACACCAAATAGGTTTAGTGAAATGTGTCGTTTTACAGGGTCAGCCATAGTAGTACGGCGCCCCTGGAGAAAATTAGGGTTAAGTGTCTTGCTCAAGGGCACATCAACAGATTGTTCACCTTATCGGCACGGGTATTCAAACCAGTGACCTTCGGTTACTGGCCCAACGTGCTAACTGCTAGGCTACCTGCCGTGTTCAAAGCGAGGGTTTGAACACGCTTCAATTAAGTTCAATACACTTTTAATACGGGTTCAAAGCACTTCAATATACCATAGTACACTGCTTTGAACTGAATATTTGCAACAGTAGTTTTGCATATCAATCTATTGCTTATTGAAGCTTGATGGAGTCATATTGTAGGCCTAATCCATATTAGTACAGTATTACTAATGTAAATGCAGTATTTGTCTGGTAATAGGAAGTTATTGTTTTCTGTGAAGTTCATAGCTAATAGTTTTAAAGCAGGATGTTGAGCATGGGGGGATTTTCTCTGTCACTAATTCTGCGGTAAACTGAGGAGTTCACCTAGATCAGGAAGCAGTGTGAAAGGTACAGGGGAAATATTTTGGCTATGTGAAGCTTTATAAAGAGATGTGGTACAAACAATGGGGTTAAACGAGTGCTAAGAGCTGCTCGTGGTCTGCCTTCACAAATGCTAAAATTATAAGGAAGCTAGCATGGAGGCATGTGTTTTTCTGTTTCCTCAATTCAACTTTTTGGCACCAAAGGAGGAAGCATATTTCAAAATGCTCGGTCCTGAGGACTTGAAGGCACCGAGAATGAAAGATAGTAATTCCAGGTAGGTTTTTTGCACTTAAAATCTTCATATCCTTTTTATTTGAAAGCAGAATTCGATTTTTGTGTATTTTAACAATTCTATAAAGCTTCTAAGTCCTTCTTTCATTACATTTTGTAATAATTCCACTTCCTTAATTTGCATTGCACAACAATAATGGGAGACAGACAGAGAAAACCTTACCACTAATATGAATATGTTCTCTGATATTGTGACTTTCTCCTCCACAACTCTTCCACTCTTTAAGTGTTGCTGTTAACTTCATCATGTAAGGGGGTCTGCCATGGCACCATGTTTGACTTGTTTCTACAGAGTGAGAGTGTACATGTGTATCTGAGAGCCATTGCCATTATCTCAATAGCAGAAGATCAGAAAATAAATGTTTATTCGTTAAGGTGACACCCTAGAACTAACAATTGTGAGTTCTGTACTTTGGTTCATTTATTTGCATCTTTGAGTATTTGACAAGACAAGTGGAGACACAGAGTAGGTGTTAAAGTGTCATGATGTTGTTTGTTTGAGAGTATGAAGTCATTTGGGGCTGTCTCGGTATGTTGATTCTTTTGATGTAGAACAGTGAGGCAAATTAAATGACTACACGATGGCGATGAATTGTGACATGGTAAAACAGTTGTTCTTCATAACTATCCATCAATGAACTATACAAAAGTTGAATGATAAAACCTCGACAGGAGGTAGAGAGGAGACAGGGGAAATAAAACTTTTGAGTGATTTGCAGCACAGTTTCAGTTGCTGTCTGTGTCAATTCCTGTCCATGCAAATTCCCTTGAATGTGCTGCAGATACTGTGGCTCGTTGAGTAGAAGTGCAGAAGTACATTTCCCCTTGGTTTGCCTTTGTTCTGTGTTTCAGGGCATATGTGTGGTTGGTTCCTAGTTTCAGAATGATGCTTAGCACACTGACACCATCTTGTTTTGCTAGCATTCTCAAGGGCACTGTCCACCCCACACCATCTTGGCCACAAATGAGATGCCACTGCTGCCTTCAGTGAAACACTGCATGCTCTGTTGACCTTTACGTCATGTGACCCAGGTGGAAAGAAAGAAGAGGGCCTATTTATTTCAGTTGTCATGTGAACGTCCATGTTGAAGGTCCTCGGCTTGAGTAAACAATGGCCGGTTTACTCCTCTGTTGTTGTTTTTGTAGCCTGGTTCCCAGATATGCTTGCGCTGTCTTGCCGACTGAAACAATGTTTAGCGTGACAATAACCATAGGAGTTGGCAAGACAGCACAAACAGATCTGGGACCAGGCTAGTGATTTCGTACATTATGATTCAACTGCTGTACAATAAACCGGAATGTATCATTATGTAAAGTGTTCCATAAACTTCGGTTGCAGATTGAAAGACAAGAGGAGCCGACTGAGCCTTCTGCTGACCAAGTCAGGCTCCCATGAAAACATCGGTCCAGAAAAGAAGACCACCACCGCAACCAGCAAGTAAGACCTCAGTCAAGTATAGTGGCAAAGCAATGGAAAGAGATTGCCCTGCAGAATAACATAACATGTTTAATTGCCCCAGTTACCCAATTTGTATTGAAGAGCATTTTCAATCTTAAGGGCATTCCACACTGTACGTCGGTTTCAGTCTTTTAAGATTATTACATGTCACACTGTGCGATGTGACCAAATTTGAATATTGATATCAACCTGGCCAGATTGTATGATTTGCTTCAGTTCTGTCGTCACATTCTGCAATTGGCTTGCGAGGCTAGTTCAGCCGACGTAGGCTACGTCAACTGGGCGTATCAAGCATGGCATCGAAAGAACAACAACAAGCTCCTCGTAATGAAAAGCTCAACTCTCAAATTGAAGAGGCACATCACAACATGGAAAAGGCTAACACCGGATATAAGGCCCATAGCTCAAATGTGATGTGCGCCTCCACATAATCATTGCCATTTCTCAATACATTCATTGACATTTTGACATTCGAGGTGTGTTTATGTTATTAGCAACTACACACAGGCCATTACTTGCACCAAGTTTTCATTATACAATGTGTGAATTCTACAGTCTAATTTTGAATAAACAAATGCATGCCACACTACACGACATTTCTGACGCTGCCAGAACTTTGTTGGAGCCTACGACCGCACATAGTCATGCTTAATGGGCAGACCTAGACCCTGTCACACTGAGACGTCCGACAATCGTTTACGACCTAAGAATTTGCCCACAACTTGGAAATGTTGTCTTGGACGGCAAAATCGTGGCATAAGATGGCTAAAACCGTACAGTCTGTGCGGGCCTTAAATGGTATCTCTGACTCTTTTTTCGCAGCATCTCACCGGAGGCAGCTTTGAGATGGAGCGACACCTTTGAAGAGCTGCTCAGACATTCAGGTTAGATTGAAGCCAGCGATGTCTCATTTAGTCACAAATTGCGAGTCTATTTTTGTTCAAAGCACAACTTTAATGGGAAGCCACATTGTCTTTAGGGAAATTAAAGGTTAGAGGAGAGAACAATGGAGTTTCACTACATGTTTTCGGTGTTAGGTAAGACTATCAAACCTGTCTAACTTCCTGAGATGTCTATTGAAGAGTGTTTCATTACAGCTGTAAATCATTTTGCAGGGTTTGCTCTATGAGTCATTGAGAATCTTTCCCACTTTTCATAGAGAGCAGGTTGAGAATCTACAGAGTTTGACCATCTCTATTTTGAATATGAATAAACAAAAATAAGCCAAATCTCAATTAACATAGTCTGAAATTCAATCAAGTGTAAGTTACAAAGTAACTCATCTACAGTTTCAGCCTCAAGTGGGCACAGTGCAGATCCCTTTGTCACCATTATTCTGGAGCAGTACATGCTGTTTTTATCCATATAAGCCTCATGATTGAATCCAATGAATCCAATGGATCATTAAAGAGTATGTTCTTCTCCCCCGGGTAGATGGAGTGGAGACGTTCTCTCAGTTCCTCAGAACAGAGTTCAGTGAGGAGAACATTGAGTTCTGGTTGGCCTGTGAGGAATACAAGACCATCAACTCGGATTCCAGGCTCATCACCAAAGCCAAGCAGATGTATGCTGTCTTCATTGAAGCCGAGGCCCCAAAGGAGGTATATATGGTGCTTGAGAAATGAAACCAAATGGGCCTTGCTGGAGCTTTATGAGCCGTATAGGGTCTACAGGTTTTCCTGACCATGTGGGCCCTATCAATGGCAATAGGAAATCTGTGGGCAACACCAATGGAACTTCCCTAAAGCTGGTGGTTGGTCAACGGGCATCTCATTCAACTATTCACAGAAAGATCAAATCTCATCTTTGTTGCTCTTCTATGGTCTTTATCTAATTCAAAAGGAGACTGATGCAATGCATCAACATTCACCACTATACATACTTTGACTTTTATAAACTATGCACAGGAACTATGCAGAGGTTACAATGAGTATGATGCATGAACAAAGCTCTGAGTGCATGAGCACCCTGTGGTTGAGAATATGCTCTATACGCCTAGTGAGACAGATATGACCATTATAGAACTGTGTGGTTTAGGAGCGTTATAACCTCAGGCACCATTGGACGCAGACAGACGTGAGCGTGTGGTTTTCCTTCTCTGCAACTAGCAGCAACTGAGCCAGTGGAATAATTACCCACACACTTTCAGTTTGATATGAAGACGTTAGCGCCTTCTAAGCTCAGTTGAAGAATAAGTGAGCAGGACTTCCAAACCAAGTACAGGGACATGTAATGTGTCACAGAAGTGTACTTACATGGAGGGCTCCATAAACTAGGAAGAATGCCTCTAGGTGTCTTGGGCCAGTCATGAACTGTAGCTGTTTACAGTATATTGACCTCTCACCCACTGATCTAAAACAAGTCGCACTTGCCAATATAAAGGATTGGGTGTTCAGCTGAAATAACATCTCATTTGCATATACCCGTGGGCATAATTATAACATTTGCAAGAAATTACTCTCTATCCAACCAGCATTTTACTAAGGTACCGCCCCCTCATAATCTCACAATCTCCAGTAGCTTTCACCATGGATTTCACTCAAATTCATGATTGTTTTTGTCAAATCCTCTTGCATATTCAACATTAGGTGGAGACTACAGTGAGCTCCAATAGGACAAATTCATTTATATGTGTATTAAAGTAGTCAAAAGTTTAGTATTTGGTCCCATATTCCTAGCACACAATGATTACATCAAGCTTGTGACTCTACAAACTTGTTGGATGCATTTGCTGTTTGCATTTGCCCCAGACCATTATTCCTCCTCCACCAAACTTTACAGTTGGCACTATGCATTCGGCAGGTAGAATTCCAAACCCAGATTCATCCGTTGGACTGCCAGATGGTGAAGCGTGATTCATCACCCCAGAGAACGCGTTTTCCCTGCTCCAGAGTCCAATACCGGCGAGCTTTACACAACTCCAGCCGACGCTTGGCATTGCGCATGGTGATCTTAGGCTTGTGTGCGGCTGCTCGGCCATGGAAACCCATTTTATGAAGCTCCTGACAAACAGTTATTGTGCTGACGTTGCTTCCAGTAGCAGTTTGTAACTCGGTAGTGAGTGTTGCACTTCAGCACTTGGCGGTCCCGTTCTGTGAGCTTGTGTGGCCTACTGCTTCACGCTGAGCTGTTGTTGCTCGTAGACGTTTCCACTTCACAATAACAGCACTTACAGTTGACCGGGGCAGCTCTAGCAGGGCAAGAATTTGACAAACTGACTTGTTGTAAAGGTGGCATCCTATGACGGTGCCACGTTGAAAGTCACTGAGCTCTTCAGTAAGGCCATTCTACTGCCAATGTTTGTCTATGGAGATTGCATGGCTGTGTGCTCGATTTTATACACCTGTCAGCAACCGATGTGGCTGAAATCCACTATTTTGAAGGGGTGTCCACATACTTTTGTATATATAGTGTAGATGCAAATAAAAAAACACATGTTCCATTGTTGACATTTTGAAGGGAGCTGGCATTTGTTTGAGCAGTCATAACAGGCGTTTCAGTGATCGGAAAATCAATGGGGAGATGTGCTTTGTACAAGCAACAGTTGGAATGCGCATTGCTTTCCTTTTGAAATAAATCAAAGGGCAAGGTGGAGCTATTACCATATTACCATATCTAAGGTTCAATTTGAGATTGAGCCACATCCATTTAACATACTCATGATAGTGTCACTTTACTTTTAGGTCAACATCGACTACGCCACAAAGGTGGCCATCCGGAAGAACATCGCCACGCCGACGAATACCTGCTTCGATGCGGCACAGAGCAAAGTCTACAGCCTGATGAAAAAAGACTGCTACCCGAGGTTCCTCACTTCCGACATCTACCTGCGCCTCACCAAGAGAAAAGGCCCCGGGACCACCATGTACCGCCGGAGGTCACGGTCCTGTGTTTTCAATGAGCCGCGAGGGGAGGCCACGGGCGACTCCTCTGCCTGGTTGTAGCATCTTAAGCTGAGAGTAGCACAACACACACAAACACACACACACACAAACACCCGCACACACACCACACACACACCCTTCTAATTTCCCTTGCAGTGCAATGCCTGTATCTGACTAGCTGTGTGACTGTGGAACGTTGTGTCTTTTTAATGAGACTTTCTGAAGAGATTTGACTTTACAGCTACCTGTTAAAGTGTTCCCCATCTAGACAGCAAACATGCACATAATACTGTGTTTGAATACTAATATGCAATATTCATCTTGATTACCGTTAAATGTCTTGCCACTGCTTGTATTAATTCAATAATTTATGATAATAATCTGTTATGTTGGCTTTTAGTTGTAAATTGTATATATTGTCTGGAGAGTAATTATTGGAATAAACAACGTACTTTGAAAGCTTTTTCTAATGTTTATAACTGTTCAATTATGTCAAAAGAGACAAACAAAAACATCACAAATAGCGACTATGATGTTAGTGCATTACACAATCAGAAGGGGAAGTATTTGGAAGGAACCCCTACCGAATCACTAAAAAATGTATAAACCTCACTGAGCAAGTGAGTAACCACTCTATGATTAGAAAGATTCACATCATTGTATTCCTTACAAAGAAAAATATGTAATCATTCTAAGCTGCCAGTGATTCCACTGAATCTATCTTGGCGGTGTCTTTATTTGCAGGCTGCTGAAGGTGCTGGTCGAGGACACACAGCGCCTCACTGTGGCTCACAAGAGCCAGTGTGGGCCAAGAGTACTTCCTGGTCAAGTCTATTGACCAGGAACTATTGGCCCTTGTTATAATTCATGGCTCGTGACCATGTGGTCTGGTTACTAGGGAAAACTCCTGGCCCTAGCCATGACAGCTAGATGACAGGGTGTTGGAAGAGGAATAAATGAGTGTTTGTATAAAATCTGTACATTATATTAAACATTCCACAATGCAATGTCTTCATGGCAGCTAGGGGAACAAGGGAAACAACAAACGGGGGAAAAACTGTTTTATTTATGTTTTGTGTGTGGGTAGGAATGCTTTGATAGTAAACTCCTCTGGGTTCACTTCAATCAGAATCCACCAACTATGTAGTTTTGGGATGTATAGCAACCCCACCAGCAATAGACAGTGTTTCAGAGTCTGCACTGCACCAATGGAAACACTTCTCAGCACTGTGCACATGCGAGCAGGGACGGCTTGTTCAATAGGGCGATATGGGCGACGCACTGCCAAACGGGAAAAGGAAGGGATTTTTTTTCTAATCAATTATATCACGGCAACAGCAGTTATCAGTGTTCACGTCTGATCTGCCAGCCACTAAATGTCAAATCAGGCTAAAGTCGTGCTTCAAATGGCCCCGCCCGTTTTTTGGGCGATTTCAGTCAGGTTGAAAATCGCCCAGAAGTCTCTCATAGCCTGTCATGTAAAATCTATTTTTTTTCACATTTCAAAGTGTCACACTCTGGCTCCGGGACTGTGTGTTAGAGCCAGGGTGTATTTCATTTGGTGGTGTTGGGTTGGGTGAGTTTCATTTGTTTGTGTTTTTTGGTGATTGGTTAATGACTCCCAATCGGAGGTAACGAGTGTCAGCTGTCGGCTCGTTATCTCTGATTGGGAGCCATATATATTCTGTGTGTTTTTCTCCTTGTGTTTGTGGGTTTTTGTTTCCTTGTGCTATGTTCAGTCGGTGTCATAGAGAACTTCACGTATCGTCTTTTGTTGTTTTTTCGTGGTTGCTTTTATAAATAAAGTCATCATGTTCACTCACAACGCTGCGCATTGGTCTCCTGCTTCAGACGATCGTGACAGAAAAACCCACCATCAAAGGACCAAGCAGCGTGTCCAGGAGCCGAGGGTCTGGACATGGGAATAACTTTTGGACGGTAAAGGGTCCTGGACGTGGGAAGAAATCCTGGATGGCATGGATCGCCGTCCATGGAGCGAGACAGAGGAGAGGCGACGGAGAGAGGAGCAACGGCGTCGGCAGAGCCAACGTCGGAAGGACGAGAGGCAACCCCAAGAAATTTTTGGGGGGGGGCACATGGCTTGGGCGACTGAGCAGCAGGAGGCTGCCACAAGGCAGAGTCAGAAGGCTGCCAGGTTAAGGGGGCTGACGGAGGCAGAGAAGGGACGGATTCAGGAGGCTACCAGGTCAAGGGGGCTATTGGCGAGTAGAAGGAGGGAAGTGTGTGTGGCACGGCGTGAAGGACTGATGTGTGTTGCCAGTCCGGTCCGGCCCGTTCCTGATCCTCGGTTGAAGCCAGTAGTGTGTGTTCCCCGTACGGTACGGCCTGTTCCGGCCCCTCGCACTAAGTGTACGGTGCGCGTCGCCAGCCCGGTTCGGCCTGATCCTGCCACCCGCACCAAGTGTACGGTGCGCGTCGCCAGCCCAGCCCGGCCTGTTCCGGTCCCTCGCACTAAGTGTACGGTGCGCGTCGCCAGCCCGGTTCGGCCTGTTCCTGCCATCCGCACCAAGTGTACGGTGCGCGTCGCCAGCCCAGCCCGGCCTGTTCCTACTCCACGCACCAGGGATACGGTGCGCTTCGCCAGCCCGGCCCGGCCTGTTCCGGCCACTCGCACCAGGGATACGGTGCGCGTCGCCAGCCCAGCCCGGCCTGTTCCTGCTCTCCGCACTAGGCGTGAGGTGAGTCCCCAGGGTCCAGCATGCCCTGTTCCGGCTCCCCGCACTAGGCGTTATGGGAGTCCCCAGGGTCCAGCATGCCCTGTTCCGACTCCCCGCACTAGACCTGAGATGCGTGTCCTCAGCCCGGTACCTCCAGTTCCGGCACCACGCATCAGGCCTACGGTGCGTCCCCAGGGTCCAGCATGCCCTGTTGCTGCTTCCCGCACTAGCCCTGAGATGCGTGTCCTCAGCCCGGTACCTCCAGTTCCGGCACCACGCATCAGGCCTACGGTGCGTCCCCAGGGTCCAGCATGCCCTGTTGCTTCTCCCCGCACTAGCCCTGAGATGCGTGTCCTCAGCCCGGTACCTCCTGTTCCGGCACCACGCACCAGGCCTACGATGCGCCTCAGACGGCCAGAGTCTGCCGTCTGCCCAACGGGGCCTGAACTGCCCGTCTGCCCAAAGCCTGCAAAGCCGCCCGTCTGCCATGAGCCATCAGAGCCGTCCGCCAGACCGGAGCCGCTAGAGCCTTCCGCCAGACAGGATCAGCCAGAGCCTTCCGCCAGACAGGATCAGCCAGAGCCTTCTGCCAGACAGGATCAGCCAGAGCCTTCTGCCAGACAGGATCAGCCAGAGCCTTCTGCCAGACAGGATCAGCCAGAGCCTTCCGCCAGACAGGATCAGCCAGATCCGTCAGTCGGCCATGAGCAGCCAGATCCGTCAGCCAGCCATGAGCAGCCAGATCCGTCAGCCAGCCATGAGCAGCCAGATCCGTCAGCCAGCCATGAGCAGCCAGATCCGTCAGCCAGCCATGAGCAGCCAGATCCGTCAGCCAGCCATGAGCAGCCAGATCCGTCAGCCAGCCATGAGCAGCCAGATCCGTCAGCCAGCCATGAGCAGCCAGATCCGTCAGCCAGCCATGAGCCGTCCAGCCAGGATCCGCCAGAGCCGTCCAGCCGGGATCCGCCAGGGCCGTCCAGCCAGGATCCGCCAGCCAGCCAGGATCCGCCAGAGCCAGCCAGCCAGGATCCGCCATTTAGTCAGGTGCTGCCCCTTAGCTCGGTGTTGCTCCTTATCCTGGTGCTGTCCCTTATCCTGGTGCTGTCCCTTAGCCTGGTACTGCCCCTTAGTCCGGTACTGCCCCTTAGTCCGGTACTGCCCCGTAGTCCGGTGCTGCCCCTTAGTCCGGTGCCGCCCCTTAACCCAGTGGGGTGTAGTTGGGGGGTGGTAATGTGTAGGAGGCAAATTAAGTGGGTAATGACTATGGTGGGGTGGGGATCACGACCAGCGCCAGAGCCGCCTCCGTGGAGTAACACCCACCCAGCCCTCCCCATTTTTGGGTTAGGCGCGGTCGGAGTCCGCGCCTTTGGGGGGGGGTACTGTCACACTCTGGCTCCGGGACTGTGTGTTAGAGCCAGGGTGTATTTCATTTGGTGGTGTTGGGTTGGGTGAGTTTCATTTGTTTGTGTTTTTTGGTGATTGGTTAATGACTCCCAATCGGAGGTAACGAGTGTCAGCTGTCGGCTCGTTATCTCTGATTGGGAGCCATATATATTCTGTGTGTTTTTCTCCTTGTGTTTGTGGGTTTTTGTTTCCTTGTGCTATGTTCAGTCGGTGTCATAGAGAACTTCACGTATCGTCTTTTGTTGTTTTTTCGTGGTTGCTTTTATAAATAAAGTCATCATGTTCACTCACAACGCTGCGCATTGGTCTCCTGCTTCAGACGATCGTGACACAAAGCTTTCAATACATTCTCTATGGGTGTCTGTGGGCATGCACTTACGCGCTTTCGTCATACGTGACGTAACGTTGAACGTAACTAAGACAATGGCGGCTAGCAGCGTCTATGTTGCGACCTGCAGTGTGGCGTTATTTTATGTTTTTAATTTGTAGACTTAGTTTACAAACATTCTGCAAACATTCTGCTTTGGACTGATCTTCGGTTTTGGACTGATCTTGTTGATCGTGTACATACCCGCTACGAACGGACTAAATAATGAAAACGCTGCTGGCAGCGGAATCCCAATACAGCTGGGAGACTTGGCTGGATGACAGAGTCCCGGACAGAGAGGTGGAGCCGGCCGGCTTCACCCTGGTCAGAGCGGACCGCGATCCTGGTAAGAGAGCGACTCTGTACCCCGACATTGAACTGCTTTCTGTGTCATTGAACCTTACTATTGTTGATAAAACAAGTTTACTGGAGAACGGAGACCAAGTAGAGACTTTTGGACAAGGTGGATAATTGTATAATATAAGGCAGTTTATTCAGAGGTAAAGATATCTGGAATCGCGTGCACGGACCCGTTCGTCAAACTCGTAGGGAGTTTATCAGAAGAGCCCCTAAACATTGTGTGCTGACATTTTATACAATAAAATGAAGTAGGTTGAATCTAGTAGTTCTGATCTTCTGATTGGTCCTGATGAGTTGGGCGAGGTCACCTCCATGCTAGTGTCACTGTTGCATTGGCTCTGAGTCGGGTTCTCTGTCTTCAGATGTTCAGCCTAAGAGAAGAGGATTTGTGTGTGTGTGTGTTTGTTATCAGTGTGTGTGTGTGTGTGTGTGTGTGTGTTTGTTATCAGTGATGATGTGTGTGTGTGTGTGTGTGTGTTTATCAGTGATGATGTGTGTGTGTGTGTGTGTGTGTGTGTGTGTGTGTGTGTGTGTGTGTGGGTGTGTGTGTGTGTGTGTCCTCAGGGCAAGAACTCGTGAGTTGGAAGAACTGAGAGACCTATGGCGTGGGTGTTATCCTTAGCCACCTGCTGACAAGGCTGACAAGATAGGACTCTTGTTCATTGTATTGAATACAAAGGCCCAACACAAAATGGGTCATGCACAAGATTTTAGTCAGACCAAGCTATAACATTATATATTTACTACGACAGTACATTCAACCAAAAGCTAATATAACAAAGGCATCAGAGATTATTTATAATCTGTCACAGAAACTGGAATCCATCTCCCCAGATCAGTCAATAAATGCTTCTGGTATTGACTTATATGCTGCCCCTGTCTTCATGTTGTTGCTGGACATATATTTTTTAAAATGTGTGTAGGTCACCTAAATCATCAGAAAAATTGCCCCTCCTGAGAATTTTTTCAGGAGCCGCCACTGCATGCGAGACAGGCACCTCTTTTGAAAATCAAATTTCCCAGTCTTGGTGTGTCCACACGGATGCAAATCGGGATCGCCGTGGTGTTTTCCATCACCTGGTGAGATTTACATTCCTGGTTTTGTTTGGGAAGCACATAATGTCCTGGGCTGGAGGATAATGGGGATCAGGATATGTGTGCACCCCAGGCAGGACTGTCCTCGTACACCATGACCCGCCATCATTAGTACGTTAATGACTACACATTTGCAGTTACTGTATACATTGGGAATATTCCATTACCCCTATCCCACAATGCATCACTTAGCTGACACATGAGGATGGGTTTCCTATATGCAGAAAGAGCATACCTTGCACTGACAGCATCTGTGGATAACCTTTGACCCTCCATCTAGGCCGTAGATATTCAATACCATAAAAGGATCAGAGAAGGGAAATATAACCAGCACAATATTATATATAAGTAGCACTTTTCAAGCAAACATGGACTATTTTGTACTTTAACTACGTTATTCACAAAGGCCAGTATTCTTAACACTCAGATACACCACTCAAACTTTCACACAAGTCAAAATAGAGTCTACAAAGCCTAAACATATGATGTGCTTTAGTGCAGGGTTAGATTTGACAGACATAAGAGAGAATGACCGAAGATATCATGCACAGTGCATAGCATAGAATATTATTGTTGATGTGTCATTGTAATTAATGTGGAAGATATTCCACAACCGATATGCAAATCAGCGTAATACCAGGATGCGGAATTCCCTTCATGCTCTATTTGTTCATGGTCAGCCTCCCATCGAGTGGCTTCATCAGCACTTCATCATCTGTTTATAATTCATTTTCTATTTTGCATTTTACCTCACTCATTTTACCTCATTTCATTTTCCATCTGTAGCTTCTTAGGCTGTTCTAAGGCATAAATACAGATACCAGTATTTCAAAAGCCTTAACAAATACTTCAATGAGTATTGATGCTGTGGTTGACTATTTTGTTATAATTGAATAGCTTATGATGTATTCCATGTGTAGCTGTTTAGGCTGTTCAAAAGCATAAATACACATACCTGTACTTCAAAAGTATAAAAATACATACTTCGATATGTGTATTATGTATTTTAGGTGACTATTTTGTTGTGATACTATAGCATATGGCCAGGCATGTTTATCTTATGTTTCTGTTGCTGACTATGAATGACTATCTGAAATAGAATTTGGTTGCACTTTGTTTTACTGTAGAGTATTAATCCACTGAGAAATGATCAGGTGAAATGGCAATTACAGAGTAATAACATGTAAAAAGCTATATCTCTATGATAACATTCTAATAATCACTTGAAACAAGCTCTACTGGGCACCATTTGTTACCAAGTAGTACTAGTTATTTCGAATTCTTCAAAAGTGCCATTCATCGATGGTGACGTCATTTATGTGTACGCTCTTTTGACTTTAGGGTTATATTAGGATTATATACTCTGTATTTCATCTTCATATCTATGATTGAAACTGAGGTGGACAGGATATCAAAGAAGGCATGAGGACCACTCCTTGAAACCCAGGTGTCTACTCTCTCAGAGGTCAGAGAGACGTTGGAAGGAATCTCCAAACACTTTGCATACTGATTTTCATGTGTTCAATTCATGGAGGAAGCTTTGTTTAGATCATTACCTGCAACTCAACTCCCTCACCTCGAAACAATCAAAATCTTAGCCTCACATTGGCAGGAACAGTTTTCTCTCTCCCAGACAGACAACGCAGCCATGGCAATAAAGTGAGTTCCTTTATCTCTGATTCTGTAGATGAATGCCGCTATGTTTCAATAGAAGTTACAACTTATTACAAGAATGCATTTAAGTTAATATAATGTATTGGATAACAGGTTATTGGAAAATGTTTAAGATCTTTTCACTGGACTATAAAATATATATTTTTTAATGCAAAACCATTGATGAACCATATTCATCTATTTTCTTTCCAGGTGTGAGGCAGATTTGATATTGTGTTTTGAAAATCACTGATTACTGCACTAGTGATGGATCTCAACGCTCTTTTCAAGGGTAGATTTTGTTGCTTTCTCAAGGACCCACTTGAAGAGGCTGAGACTTGGGGAGAGTCTGTGGACAAACTCCTGTGTTGTAAATGTAAGGACAACGTTATATCCTTTTAATATACTGCCTGTCTGGAAGGCATCACCAAGAGTGCTAAACTGATTATGGCATCCTCAGGATATCTGATTTAGAAAATCACAGGCAAATTACGATTGTCTGTTACAAGTAACTAAAATGTATCAAGTTAGTATTACTGCCTTTGTCTTGTGACAGAACTCATGCTCATATGCTTTCATACAATAACAAACATTGAGAAATCTCATTTCCAACAATTCCCAAATGTTCCCTTCTTTTCCTATTTTTTTTATGTCCAGCTGGGCAGGCAGCTTTCAGACAATTCCTGAAGTCAGAGTATAGCGAGGAGAATATGCTGTTTTGGTTGGCCTGTGAGGACTACAAGAAGATCAAGTCTCTTCCAGAGATGATCTCCTCTGCAAACAGGATCTACTCCGAGTTTGTGGAATGTGAAGCACCCAGACAGGTAAGTAGCTACCTGGGGCCGTATGTATCAAGCTTCTCAGAGTAGGAGTGCTGATCTAGGCTGATCAGCTTAGTCTTTAAGATCATAATGAATACGATTATATGGACAACAGATACCTGATCCTAGATCAGCACCCCTACTCTGATACACTCAACACATACAACCGCTGATCACAATCTGCTGTATTTATAACAACTCAGAATTAACAAATTAATTAATAAGGACCTGGTTGGATCTAGACCTGTTTATACTTGTATCTGCCTTTTTACATTCAGTAGACATAAGATGTAGAAATGTATCTGGAAAAAACCAAACACATGTATTTACTGGGCATATATCTTGGTTGAAGATCAACATTGATTGTGGAACCAGAGAAAATATCACCAAGAACATCTCCCAGCCAAGCCTGACTTCCTTTGACGCGGCACAGAAGCTGATCTACAGTCTGATGGCCAGGGATTGTTACCCACGATTCCTCAAGTCAGACATCTACCAGGATTTGCTGAGGAGAGCAGATGCAAGGTGACTCTCTCAAATGACAAACGCTCTAAGTGTTTCTCAACCTTTTATTTACCAGACACTGGCAAGCTATAGTCCCTCCATCCATGGAGGACCACTTTGAATAAAGGGATGGTTCACTTGTTTTTTTTTGTTTTTAACCTTACTTTCGACTTACCTAAGGTGTTGTTACCTAGGGTTTAGTTTAGCAACATCCAGAATCTCCTGGTTTGAATGTTTTCATTCCTTAAAACTAGCACCTGAAAACTGACTAAATGGCTGTCAGCTAACCATCTAACAAGGAACTGGTCAAGAACAACCCATAGGTTGAGAAACACTGCTCTAAAAGATGATGTAAAGTACATTCTTTCACCTCTTTCATCTACTTATGCTTAACATGTTATTGCAATCCATGTCAAAACGATATCAGAGATAGCTTTTCTTAAACTGGTGACTACATTTCATGGATTGATTCCATTCTCAATTAATGTATATAGTATAATGTGTGCAATGTTGTTGTATTTAACTAAGTTATTTGTAGAGACTAAAATGCCTAAATGTTGCCCCTTTGACCATAGATCTGATGACGAATAAGTTCTTAATTTGTATCAATAGTATTATCACTTCTGTATGTAATCAGATACTGTCTCAAATTGAAATGAAAATGATCTGAATGAATCAAGCATCAAATTTGAAATAAAAAACTATACAAATGAGTTGCCAAGCTCCTATCCCTGTTCTGTGTTGATAATTTTTTGGAAAGCCAGATGAAAAATGCAAGCTTTATGTGCCTGCTGTTTACAGGTGCACTGGCTACTGCAATTCAAGGTTGTATGCATCTTTGTCATACAAACATTTACAGTGCATTGTAACCTTTTAAGTTCCCAGACATTTTTGTGAATGGTGGATAACATGTGGTGGAAAACTTTGGCAGTCAGGTGATGAATGAGAATTATCTGAAAACTCTATTGTCATTTGTTTTTTTGGTCTGTGTATATGTATGTACTTAAAATCAGAGATCTCTTTTGAAGAAAACCTTTAATCAACAGCAATTTGGCTCTCATATAAATTGTGCGTAGTGCAGTCAGGGTGTGGCCGTGCTGTCATTTTGAATTTGATGCAAAACATCCCCTGATTGTTTTGATTGACCGTGATTGTGATCCGATTAACTTCCCTTCTCCCCGAAGAGTGTACACGTTCACTCCCCATCCATGGATAAATATGAATGGAATCAGAAATATGATGGAAACTCCCTCTAGCCCAAGCGGGCATCAATCCAATACTTCAAAAAACAATTATGAACACTTTAAGGAGAAGGGTTAGAAGAAGAATAAGAAAGAATATGCCATTTAGCAGACGCTTTTATCCAAAGCGACTTACAGTCATGCGTGCATACATTTTTTTTTGTGTATGGGTGGTCCCGGGGATCGAACCCACTACCTTGGCGTTACAAGCGCCGTGCTCTACCAGCTGAGCTACAGAGGACCACAACACCCTTCAATGCTGCAGAAGGGTGTCGGAACAGAGTGGTCGGTGAAGTGTATACAACTTTCCAACTCCAGATGGGAGCAAAGCTCACAGATTGACTTATGTTCTCGTAGAGCGGAGACTATTTTGTAAACAAATGAAACTGGCCCTACACCAGAACTTGGGTGGCAGGAAGCCTAGTGGTTGGGCCAGCCTAGCGGTTAAGAGTGTTAGGCCAGTAACTGAAAAGTCACTGATTCGAATCCCTGAGCTGACTAGGTGAAAAATCTGTCGATGTGCCCGTTGAGCAAAGCACTTACATTCTCCTGTAAGTCGCTCTGGATAAGCGTCTGCTAAATGATTAAAATGTCAAACTTCAGGAGCAGCTTCCTCCTACAGTAAATGGTATGTATAGATAAAACAGAAGCTGCACAGGTTTCATGGTGACTGTCATGACTTAGCCTATACCACCACACTGTGGCAGACAATTTGTGTGGACATTTTTTGTCGAACTTCCATGTATGTTAGATTGTGCTCCAGCCAGGGGATTCAAATTTGACATCGAAATTGGAGATCTATCCATGTCCTGAGGACGTTGCGAAATGCCTTCAAACCAGGACACTAGGGGCAACAGTGAGCACTATTACCATCAAGTAGGCTTGGGTTTTGTTGTTGGGTGTAATTCCATGACTCTTGATCAGAAGGTTGATTGTTCAATCCCAGTCATTTACTTTTCTTTTTGGTTTTAACCCTATCTCAAACCTTAATCCTTACCTTAACTGTTCGGAATTAGTGCCTAAACTTAACCCTTAACCTCGAAAATGTATGTTTGAAGAAATAAAACCGTACAGAGCAGCAGGAGCAACAAAAACACTTTTGGAGAACGTGGATGAACCTCTAATTCTGCAGTGAGACTGTGAGAGCTTGTCAACATCTTTGAAGTGCAAAGAGAAATGCAGTAATGAACAATATTGTATACACTGAGAATACCCATTTCATACGATCAACACTCATCTAATGGAATGTTTAGATGCACTGACAATGTTAGTTCATTGTGCGTAGGGCCAAAGGTGCATTACTGAGCCTTGGCCTGATTGATGTACCTTTGCATATCTTACGTAACCATGGTGAAGGAATGCAAAGTAAGCCTAGGTAGACAGAGAGGGCATGTTGTCCCAAAAATAGTACATCTGGTATCATCGAAAGTCTCCAATGTCTTCTTACAACTGCTATATCTTCTGTTCGGCTTGAATTCTACACTGGCCTCTAACAATTTCAACTCCTCCTACGACCATAAAAATAATTTTGGACAGCTTGAGCAAGCACACAAATATTATTCTGGAAATGTATATTTTCTAGTTATGTAAAATTGGTTGTAATCATGGACACAATTCAGAATAATCAAATCTTAATGCAGGGTCGTTCCATGTCATTTCATGACACCCACCGTCTCAGATTGTTCTGAAATTGTTTCTGTAGTTAGAAACAGATAAGATTAGCATTTCTGCAACATGATTTTGTTGAAATATAATTTGATCTCTGAGAAATTAAGCTAATTGATTGCACCCAAATTGGCCATTTACATTTATAGGATTCATATACAGTGCCTTCGGAAAGTATTAAGACCCCTTGACTTTTTCCACATTTTGTTAGGTTACAGCTTTATTCTAAAATTGATTAAATCGTTTTTTCCCCCGCATCAATCTACACACAATACCCCATAATGACAAAGCAATAACTGGTTTTTAGAAATCTTTGCTAATTTATAAATATCACATTTACATAAGTATTCAGACCCTTTACTCAGTACTTTGTTGAAGCACCTTTGGCAGCGATTACAGCCTCGAGTCTTCTTGGGTATGACACTACAAGCTTGGCACAACTGTATTTGGAGAGTTTCTCCCATTCTTCTCTGTCCGGGCTGTGAATGGGCCACTCAAGGACATTCAGAGACTTGTCCCGAAGCCCCTCCTGTGTTGTCTTGGCTGTGTGCTTAGGGTTGTTGTCCTGTTGGAAGGTGAATCTTCGCCCCAGCCTGAGGTCTTGAGCGCTTTGGAGCAGGTTTTCATCAAGGATCTCTCTGTACTTTTCTCCGTTCATCTTTGCCTCGATCCTGACTAGTCGCCCAGTCCCTGGCGCTGAAAAACATCCCCACAGCATGATGCTGCCACCACCATGCTTCACTGTAGGGATGGTGCCAGATTTTCTCCAGACGTGACGCTTGGCATTCAGGCCAAAGTGTTCAATCTTGGTTTCATCAGACCAGAGAATCTTGTTTCTCATTGTCTGAGAGTCTTTAGGTGCCTTTTGGCATACTCCAAGTGGGCTGTCATGTGCCTTTTACTGAGGAGTGGCTTCCGTCTGGTCACTCTACCATAAAGGCCTGATTGGTGGAGTGCTGCAGGGATGGTTGTCCTTCTGGAAGTTTCTCCCATCTCCACAGAGGAACTCTAGAGCTCTGTCAGAGTGACCATCACGTTCTTGGTCACCTCCCTGACCAAGACCGTTCTCCCCCGATTGCTCAGTTTGGCCGGGTGACCAGCTCTAGGAAGAGTCTTGGTGGTTCCAAACTTCTTCCATTTAAGAATGATGGAGGCCACTGTGTTCTTGGGGACCTTCAATGCTGCAGAATGTTTTTGGTACCCTTTCCCAGATCTGTGCCTCAACACAATCCTGTCTCGGAGCTCTATGGACAATTCCTTCGACCTCATGGCTTGGTTTTTGCTCTGACATGCACTGTCAACTGTGGGACCTTATATAGACAGGTGAGTGCCTTTCCAAATCATGCCCAATCAATTGAATTTACCACAGGTGGAATCCAATCAAGTTGTGGAAACATCTCAAGGATGATCAATGGAAACAGGATGCACCTGAGCTCAATTTCGAGTCTCATAGCAAAGGGTCTGAATACTTATGTAAATAAGGTATTTCTGTTTTGTATTTGTAATACATTTGCAAAAAAATTTAAAAACCTGTTTTCGCTTTATCAATATGGGGTATTGTGTGTAGATTGCTGAGGATTTTTATTTATTTAATCAATTTTAGAATAAGGCTGTAACGTAACAAAATGTGGAAAAGGTCAAGGGGTCAGAATACTTTCCCGAAGGCACTGTAACATTCAATAAATATAGTACCTTACATCTGATTTGGAACAAACTTTTTTCTAACAATGAGTAGGACTTGACTCATGAGGAATCCAAAGAAATGGTCAAAAGCCACCCACAGACCCCCCCACACCCCACACCAATCCCAACCCAGTATACAGTATCAGTTCTCTATTGGCACTTTTGTCTATTTCTTTCTATTGACAACAAAAGTGGATCACAACGCAAAACACACCTGTGGTTCAACACCATTGACGCTGTGCTGGATGCAGACCAGGTATGTCTAGTCGGGGGACACTGGATTTGACACCACCGACAGCGATATTTGAAGCCATGATGCCGGGCAGCAATGATCAGCACGGTAATACATTGTTTTAGCCAAATTACTATCTAGCTAGCTACCAATGTCTTCAGCATAGCTAGCTGTAGCATGTCAGAGTGACCACTGTGCGAGATGTAAACCAAGGTCAATAACTTGTCATATAAACATCCATGGAAGGCCAACGCCGAGGACTTAGCTACATGTTTGACATTAGCAAGAGCATCCGACTTTACATTATACAAACAAACATACTTACAGTGCTTTCAGAAAGTATTCACACCCCTTTACTTTTCCCAAATTTTGTTGTGTTACAGCCTGAATATAAAATGTATTAAATTGAGATTTTTGGTCACTGGCCTACACATAATACCCCATAATGTCAAAGTGGAATTATGTATACAACAATTTAAAAAACTGAAATGTCTTGAGTCAATAAAGATTCAACCCCTTTGTTATGGCAAGCCTAAATAAGTTCAGGAGTAAAAATTTGCTTAACAAGTCACTTAATAACTTGCATGGGCTGTGTGCAATAATAGTGTTTAACATGATTTTTGAATGACTATCTCAGCTCTGTACCCCACACATACAATTATCTGTTGGTCGAGCAGTTAATTTCAAACACAGATTCAACCACAAAGACCAGGGAGTTTTTCCAATGCCTCGCAAAGAAGGGGACCTATTGGTAGATGGGTAACAATAAAAAAGCAGACATTGACTATCCCTTTGAGCATGGTGAAGTTTTTAATTACACTTTGGATGGTGTATCAAAACACCCGGTCACCACAAAGATACAGGCGTCCTTCCGAACTCAGTTGCCAGACAGGAAGCAAACCACTCAGGGATTTCATCATGAGGCCAATATTTATTTAATGGCTGTGATAGGAGAAAACTGAGAATGGATCAACAACATTATATTTACTCCACAATACTAACCGAAATGACAGAGTGAAAATAAGGAAGCCTGTACAGAATACAAATATTCCAAAACATGCATCCTGTTTGCAAAAAGGCACTAAAGTAACACTGCAAAACATTTGGCAAAGCAATTAACTTTCTGTCCTGAATACAAAGTATTATGTTTGGGGATAATCCAATAAAACATATTTCTGAGTACCACTCTCCATATTTTCAAGCATAGTGGTAGCTGCATCATGTTATGGGTATGCTTGTAATCGTTAATGACTGGGGAGCACAGGCAAAATCCTAGAGGAAAACCTGGTTTAGTCTGCTTTCCACCAGACACTGGGAAACTAATTCACCTTTCAGCAGGAGAATAACCTAAAGCACAAGGCCAAATCTACACTGGAGTTGCTTACCAAGAAGACAGTGAATGTTCCTGAGTGGCCGAGTTTCAGTTTTTACTTAAATCTACTTGACAATCTATGGCAAGGCCTGAAAATGGTTGTCTAGCAATGATTAACAACCAATTTGACAGAGCTTGAATAATTTTTTAAAGAATACTGGGCAAATGTTGCAAAATCCAGGTGTGGAAAGCTCTTAGTAACTTACCCAGAAAGACTCACAGCTGTAATCACTGCCAAAGGTGCTTCTACAAAGTATTGATTCAGGGGTGTGAATACTTATGTAAATTAGATATTTCTGTATTTCATTCTCAATAAATTTGCAAAAATGTATTTTCAGAGGACATTCCTGAACCTACAGACTCAGAAGAAGCTGCATGCTCGAATGGTAAAGCCACAACCCCTGAACCCTGAACCCTGCACCCACAAACCCCCAGGTTTCATTCTCAGTTGGTAAACAGTTCAATATCAATTGATTGTCATGCTCACTTGTTTAGCCCTAATCACACAATTTAGCTGTCTTCAACAGGGCAATCTCATCTACAGAGGGCGTTTGTCATGGCAGGGTTATGTTCCTAAACATTATTCAAGGAGACCCAAGACCCTTATTATTTGCATCTTGGTGTATCTGCTTGTTAGATCTGATTTGTTGCACACTGGCCTTTGCTGGATAAAATGTAATACATGTAATGAGATAATACATGGTTGGATAACAAAACTGCACTCACACTGGTTGACCTCAGGTTTGCTATGGAGTCCGTACCTTATAATTCCTGTACTGTATATTTCATTACTTTTGCCTATATATTTTCCCAGGGAAGGGACAACACTGCGAGCACAACCAGCGAATACCTGAACTTCATGAGGAAGACCGAGGTCTCATACCTGGAAACACTTCAGGCCAGCGTCAGCAGCAGGATCAGCACTTCAATCAACTGTGTGAAGATGAGGCAGCAGCCAGAGAGCAGGTGTTCTTAATGTTTTGTATACTCGGTGTATACTTGTTGGGGTGGGATTGGTGTGGGGTGCGGGTCTGTGGGTGGCTTTTGTCCATTCCTAATGTCTAACTCATTGTTAGTAAAACGTTTGGTTCAAATCTGATTTTAGGTACTATATTTATTGAATATTATATGAATCCTATGAATTAAAATGGCCAATTTGGATGCAATCAATTAGCAAAATATTTCTGAGATCAAATTCTATTTCAACAAAGTAATGTTGCAAGAATGCTAATCTTATCTGTTTCTAACAACATAAACGATTTCAGAACAATCTGAGATGGTGGGTATCGAAATCCTCTTTCTTGTGCTTTTTGTGGTGTAACGACCCCGCAGGCTCTGCATGGGCTGCAGTTAGGTGGTATGTTAGGTGTACCACACTATCACAATGTATTAGTATGATTTATTTCCAAAATATACTTAAAAAAAATATATATGTCCAATATGTTAATATGCCAATCCTGTCAGTGAAATTCACTGGCTACATAGAGTTGAAGTCGGAAGTTTACATACACCTCACCAAATAAATTTCAACTCAGTTTTTCACAATTCCTGACATTTATTCCTAGTAAGAATTCCCTGTCTTAGGTCATTTAGGATCACCACTTTATTTTAAGAATATGAAATGTCAGAATAATAGTAGAGAGAATTATTTATTTCAGATTTTATTTCTTTCATCACATTCCCAGTGGGTCAGAGGTTTACATACACTCAATTAGTATTTGGTAGCATTGCCTTTAAATTGTTTAACTTGGGTGAAACGTTTCGGGTAGCCTTCCACAAGCTTCCCACAATAAGTTGGGTGAATTTTGGCCCATTCCTCCTGACAGAGCTGGTGTAACTGAGTCAGGTTTGTAGGCCTCCTTGCTCACACACGCTTTTTCAGTTCTTCCCACAAATGTTCTATAGGATTGAGGTCAGAGCTTTGTGATGGCCACTCCAATACCTTGACTTTGTTGTCCTTAAGCCATTTTGCCTCAACTTTGGAAGTATGATTTGGGTCATTGTCCATTTGGAAGACCCATTTGCGACCAAGCTTTAACTTCCTGACTGATGTCTTGAGATGTTGCTTCAATATATCCACATCATTTTCCTTCCTCATGATGCCATCTTTTTGTGAAGTGCACCAGTCCCTCCTGCAGCAAAGCACCCCCACAGCATGATGCTGCCACCCCCATGCTTCACGGTTGGGATGGTGTTCTTCGGCTTGCAAGGCCTCCCCTTTTTCTTCCAAACATAACGATGGTCATTATGGCCAAACAGTTCTATTTTTGTTTCATCAGACCAGAGGACATTTCTCCAAAAAGTACGATATTTGTCCCCATGTGCAGTTGCAAACCGTAGTCTGGCTTTTTTATGGCGGTTTTGGAGCAGTGGCATCTTCCTTGCTGAGCGGCCTTTCAGGTTATGTCGATATAGGACTCGTTTTTCTGTGGATATAGATACTTTTGTACCTGTTTCCTCTAGCATCTTCACAAGGTCCATTGCTGTTGTTCTGGGATTGAGTTGCACTTTTTGCACCAAAGTACGTTCATCTCTAGGAGACAGAACGCATCTCCTTCCTGAGCGGTATGATGGCTGCGTGGTCCCATGGTGTTTATACTTGCATACTATTGTTTGTACAGATGAGCGTGGTACCTTCAGGCATTTGGAAATTGCTCCCAAGCATGAACCAGACTTGTGGAGGTCTACAATTTTTTTTCTGAGGTCTTGGTTGATTTCTTTTGATTTTCCCATGATGTCAAGCAAAGAGGCACTGAGTTTGAAGGTAGGCCTTGAAATACATCCACAGGTACACCTCCGATTGACTCAAATGATGTAAATTAGCCTATCAGAAGCTTCTAAAGCCATGACATCATTTTCTGGAATTTTCCAAGCTGTTTAAAGGCACAGTCAACTTAGTGTATGTAAATTTCTGACCCACTGGAATTGTGATACAGTGAATTATAAGTGAAATAATCTGTCTGTAAACAATTGTTGGAAAAATTACTCATGCACAAAGTAGATGTCCTAACCGACTTGCCAAAACTATAGTTTGTTAACAAGAAATTTGTGGAGTGGTTGAAAAACAAGTTTTAATGACTCCATCCTAAATGTATGTAAACTTCCGACTTCAACTGTACCTCATGTCGAATGCACTGCCTCCCATATATTTCATTTATAGGATATTTTATGTATTTATTTTCATGCAAGTCATCAGGTCATTATAGAACACATTTCAGTTGGCTGCTTAGGAAAGAGGAAGTGGAAGTAGAGGTGGTTTGTTTCAAAACTGCACTACGCAAGTGACACACAAGCACGCACGTATGCCCACCCACGCACCCACGCACGCAGTTGAAAAATGCATTGCTTTGGTCAATATTCAATTTGAATATTGATTTATATGGATATACAATGTTAATATTATCTATTTATTTTAGATAATGTATATCATAATGTATAGCATGAAACAATATATTCATGAGGACTATATCGGAAGTATTATTTTATATGCTGCAGGTCAACCTGTGCATGAGAATATGATTTCTCATACCCATCTGACCATTTTACATATATCCTGACTTGTTCATCACAGTGACATTAACTGTAAGCAACACTGTGACTGCTGGTTTTGTCTGCTTAGTTGTCATCTGATAAAGATCTGCCATTTTGAAAATGGAAGTAAACTAACAGCATGATGTCTAGTCATCTAGTCAAGACAAATGTTTCTTTGTATCTATTGTGATCAGGCCACAATCTATCTGTCTATCTAACACACTGTATATGATTGGTTCTCTGTGACAGGAAAATAAATGTCAGAGGCCACTACTGATGTCATACAGTAAGGTGAAGTGTACTAAAGGAGAAGTGAGCCTAAAAGGTGGACAGTGGGATTTTCACTGATGAATCCGGTAAAATCCTCTACTTGCATGGTTTGACCTATTTCAATTGTTCTCTTCCTCTGCCAAAAACTCCAGATAAAATGATTAGGGTTATACTTTTGAAAAGACAAGAGTTTATATTGGTAAAAAACAGCAGCAGTTCCACTATCATGACACATGAAAGCAGAAGACCTTCTAATGAAAGTATCACTTCCACCTGACAAATGTGTTTAAAAATTCAACAAAGGACCTTGTTCTTTACTTGAACCAACCCACAGAGTAAAGGTAAGAATTTGCTTATATGTTGTTTAATTTTCCATGTTACATTTGCATCCCCAGGCCTTAATATCGGCAGGCAATGACCTGTGCAGGTTTCTGAATGCACAGACAGGCAGCTGCATTGCAGTGGTGTGAACAAGCTAGCGTCATCCTCTACTTCCTCTATTTCTGCGGTTAGAAGCCAACGAAATGGGTGACGCTACACACACTATCCTCACAGCAGCAATCGCTTGTATAAAGGAGGGTGTTGGGGGGACCGTCAAAACAGACGCAATTTGACAGCTAGCAGAGAACTCCAACACTGAGTAATACATACACAGAACCCAATGATCGTGTTCCCCCAAACATGCTTATCTTAGTCACATCACCATCAAGGGAACTGCATCCACTCAACATTGACATGGAGGACAACAGAAGAAAGCAGACAAAGTGAGTATTCGCTGATAAAGTATTGCTTACAATCCACATTGATTTATTGGTTTGGTTTATTGGTCATTCTGCACAATTGCAGATTCTTAAAAACAATTGTTCTTTAAAAACACTCAATTATGTTGCTGGTTGCCTTTGCACATAGGAGCAAGATAACTTTGAGGTTTTCTGTGCATGTGCACGTTTTGTGTGTATGCTTGTGTATTTACCTATTTACATTGTGTTTCAGAGGAAGCGACTTGAGGTCCCGACTACAACGCAGACCTTCCCATGCCCCCAACGCTGAACGGTATATAGCCTAAGGATAGACTCTCCATGTCCATGAGCCTTTCCTATCAGGACCCATCCATGAACCACATTAACATCCAGTGTATTGATCTGAAAGTAACTGTCCTCCACCTTTACAGACTTAGTCCTGAGGAAATTATCCTGTGGTCCCAGTCTTTGGAGAGACTTCTCGCATCAAAATGTAAGCATTTCATGTTCTTCAAAACAATTTTTAAACATACAAAAGGACGTTGAACCATTGAAGATATGATCATCATATGTCCATTTTCGTAGGTTTTCAGGTTTTAAAGCCTAGCTACAGTGGGGAGAACAAGTATTTGATACACTGCCGATTTTGCAGGTTTTGATACTTACAAAGCATGTAGAGGTCTGTAATTTTTATCATAGGTACACTTCAACTGTGAGAGACGGAATCTAAAACAAAAATCCAGAAAATCACATTGTATGATTTTTAAGTAATTAATTTGCATTTTATTGCATGACATAAGTATTTGATCACCTACCAACCAGTAAGAATTCCGGCTCTCACAGACCTGTTAGTTTTTCTTTAAGAAGCCCTCCTGTTCTCCACTCATGACCTGTATTAACTGCACCTGTTTGAACTCGTTACCTGTATAAAAGACACCTGTCCACACACTCAATCAAACAGACTCCAACCTCTCCACAATGGCCAAGACCAGAGAGCTGTGTAAGGACATCAGGGATACAATTGTAGACCTGCACAAGGCTGGGATGGGCTACAGGACAATAGGCAAGCAGCTTGGTGAGAAGGCAACAACTGTTGCCGCAATTATTAGAAAATGGAAGAAGTTCAAGATGACGGTCAATCACCCTCGGTCTGGGGCTCCATGCAAGATCTCACCTCGTGGGGCATCAATGATCATGAGGAAGGTGAGGGATCAGCCCAGAACTACACGGCAGGACCTGGTCAATGACCTGAAGAGAGCTGGGACCACAGTCTCAAAGAAAACCATTAGTAACACACTACGCCGTCATGGATTAAAATCCTGCAGCGCACGCAAGGTCCCCCTGCTCAAGCCAGCGCATGTCCAGGCCCGTCTGAAGTTTGCCAATGACCATCTGGATGATCCAGAGGAGGAATGGGAGAAGGTCATGTGGTCCGATGAGACAAAAATAGAGCTTTCTGGTCTAAACTCCACTCGCCGTGTTTGGAGGAAGAAGAAGGATGAGTACAACCCCAAGAACACCATCCCAACTGTGAAGCATGGAGGTGGAAACATCATTCTTTGGGGATGCTTTTCTGCAAAGGGGACAGGACGACTGCACCGTATTGAGGGGAGGATGGATGGGGCCATGTATCGCGAGATCTTGGCCAACAACCTTCTTCCCTCAGTAAGAGCATTGAAGATGGGTCGTGGCTCCGTAAGAAGCATCTCAAGGTCCTGGAGTGGCCTAGCCAGCCTCCAGACCTGAACCCAATAGAAAATCTTTGGAGGGAGCTGAAACTCCGTATTGCCCAGCGACAGCCCCGAAACCTGAAGGATCTGGAGAAAGTCTGTATGGAGGAGTGGGCCAAAATCCCTGCTGCAGTGTGTGCAAACCTGGTCAAGACCTACAGGAAACATATGATCTCTGTAATTGCAAACAAAGGTTTCTGTACCAAATATTAAGTTCTGCTTTTCTGATGTATCAAATACTTATGTCATGCAATAAAATGCAAATTAATTACTTAAAAATCATACAATGTGATTTTCTGGATTTTTTAGATTCCGTCTCTCACAGTTGAAGTGTACCTATGATAAAAATTACAGACCTCTACATGCTTTATAAGTAGGAAAACCTGCAAAATCGGCAGTGTATCAAATACTTGTTCTCCCCACTGTAAGTGTGTCTTCTCACGCCCCCTTTAGATGGCATGGCAACATTTCAGGCCTTTCTGAAATCGGAGTTCAGCGATGAGAACATTGAATTCTGGCTGATCTGTGAAGACTACAAGAAGATCAAGTCCTCCTTCAGGCTGTCCTCCAGGGCCAAGAAGATCTACAAGACATACATTGAAGCTGAGGCTCCAAAAGAGGTATGTTGTACTCACAAACATAGTATATTACTTCACAAAAACATGTAGATCTTTGATCATGTATGTATCTACTTTGTATGGCCACATTTGCTTTGTACGGGCACATCTACTTCTTGTATCCACTAAGTCTCATCAATTCCCTCTATATCGCTCCAGATCAACATTGACCACAAGACCAGAGATCTCATCGCGCAGAATGTGAAGACACCCTCCACAGTTTGCTTTGACGAGGCCCAGAGGATTGTGTACAGCCTGATGGAGAAAGATTCCTACCCCAGGTTCCTCAGATCCAACATCTACAGGACCCTACTGGACTCCGCATCAGACTATGTGAAGATGTGATTGAATACAGATGATAGAAATGGACTGCAATGTTTAACAGCCAGGGAGCGTCTACAAACAGGATTCATAAGAAGATGCTTCCGAATGTGAATTATACTGGGTACAGAGGTAAGAGGCCTAAGGGAATGCTGGGAGGAACATACAGAAGCGACTGTGCTGGCAAGCCTTTTTGACATTTGTGCCTAGTCTATGTACTTTCACTTTAAAGAGGAACATACGGCACATAGAAGGGGACTAAAGAGACCATAGAAATATAATGTTGATTATATTTCTACGAGAGACATTGTGCTGGTGGTGTCGGGGGATTACCTTGCATAGTATGTGATTGTTAGGGACTTTCTGTGTCAAAGTTCCAGGGATGTTTACAATGATGTATTATGTAGGAACTAAACAGTCAGGGCTGTAACTGTATGAGAAGGTATCTGCAGTTGCACATTATCTGCAGGTCACCAGTAGAGTTATTTTCTAAGGCATTTGATAAGATAATCTACTAAATTTGACTTTTTAAAACCAAGACAATTTTAGAATGGGTTATTTTTGTTACTCTAACACCATGAGGCATGTTTGTGATGTAAGCTTTCAAAAATAAGATGTTGGAGAATGCTGTTGTTACACTGGAAATGTGTAAATATGAAGATTTCTATAGGTGTATTTATAAAATGGCACATGGTTTCCAAATTAGAACTGCTAAATCATACTTTTAATAAAAACACATAAATTCACAAAAATGTAAATGCTTTAATCCTTCAAAGCTCTTTTAAAATATACTAATATTTTACTGCCTTTGTTAAGACGCTTCCCAAACTTTACTGAAAGGGTAATGTCACGAGGTGGAAATATGACAGGTTATTTTGGATCTGGGTTGAGCAGGAAGAGTGAAGTAGAAGCAGACAACAAGGGACTAGTTTCACCATTTAATAAATAATAGGTCAGGGTTTACAAGTTTACCTTTTCAGCAGTGGACTTTCTCATGGCCCAGGAACTTTTACAAACCATGCAATTTAAAATGACACTAACAATCAAAGTAACCAAAAGGCACAGGAGGTGGTGCAGTCCAGGAGGCAGGCGTCCATCTTGTTTCCTTCAAACTCACAATAATCAATTTCCCCTCCATGAAACCACCATCCCACTGGGCACAAACTGGTTGAATCAAAGTTGTTTCAACGTAATTTGTCAACTTATTGTGATGTGGAATCTACATGGAAAATACATTTGATTCAAACAAACTGTTGTTTTGTGAAATTTCTACCACAGGATTATGTCATCATGGTAATCAATTTTCAACATAGACAAACCTTATATAAAATATGTTGAATTTGTACCATTGAAACAACGTCAGATCATCAACCTAATATCCACTATCAGAAAAACAAAATATAGGTTGGGCAGCACCTCCTACTGGAGAGTTGATCTATCTACAACTATCATTTTGGTCTCCCATCCAGGGTTTTAAACAAGCCCTCTTTAGATATTTGCCACTGACTACTTACTACCGATGTGCTATCGTGAGAAGGATTGTTGAGAAATCTCCACTTAATAGATTCACTGTTGCTATCAAAGTCATTCCAAAGGGTAGGTTTAACAGAGCAAATTAAATGTAACCATACTTTTTCAATCATATATCATCAATGATGCTATTTAGGCCTATATAGCAGGAAGTCATCAACAGCTATTGTTTAAATTCATCCCAGGATTGAACTAAAAATAGACAATACATATACAGTGAGGGAAAAAAGTATTTGATCCCCTGCTGATTTTGTACGTTTGCCCACTGACAAAGAAATGATCAGTCTATAATTTTAATGGTAGGTTTATTTGAACAGTGAGAGACAGAATAACAACAAAAAAATCCAGAAAAACGCATGTCAAAAATGTTATAAATTGATTTGCATTTTAATGAGGGAAATAAGTATTTGACCCCTCTGCAAAACATGACTTAGTACTTGGTGGCAAAACCCTTGTTGGCAATCACAGAGGTCAGACGTTTCTTGTAGTTGGCCACCAGGTTTGCACACATCTCAGGAGGGATTTTGTCCCACTCCTCTTTGCAGATCTTCTCCAAGTCATTAAGGTTTCGAGGCTGACGTTTGGCAACTCGAACCTTCAGCTCCCTCCACAGATTTCCTATGGGATTAAGGTCTGAAGACTGGCTAGGCCACTCCAGGACCTTAATGTGCTACTTCTTGAGCCACTCCTTTGTTGCCTTGGCCGTGTGTTTTGGGTCATTGTCATGCTGGAATACCCATCCACGACCCATTTTCAATGCCCTGGCTGAGGGAAGGAGGTTCTCACCCAAGATTTGACGGTACATGGCCCCGTCCATCGTCCCTTTGATGCGGTGAAGTTGTCCTGTCCCCTTAGCAGAAAAACACCCCCAAAGCATAATGTTTCCACCTCCATGTTTGACGGTGGGGATGGTGTTCTTGGGGTCTTAGGCAGCATTCCTCCTCCTCCAAACATGGCGAGTTGAGTTGATGCCAAAGAGCTCAATTTTGGTCTCATCTGACCACAACACTTTCACCCAGTTCTCCTCTGAATCATTCAGATGTTCATTGGCAAACTTCAGACGGGCATGTATATGTGCTTTCTTGAGCGGGGGGACCTTGCGGGCACTGCAGGATTTCAGTCCTTCACGGCGTAGTGTTTTACCAATTGTTTTCTTGGTGACTATGGTCCCAGCTGCCTTGAGATCCTTGACAAGGTCCTCCCGTGTAGTTCTGGGCTGATTCCTCACCGTTCTCATGACCATTGCAACTCCACGAGGTGAGATCTTGCATGGAGCCCCAGGCCGTTGGAGATTGACAGTTCTTTTGTGTTTCTTCCATTTGCGAATAATCGCACCAACTGTTGTCACCTTCTCACCAAGCTGCTTGGCGATGGTCTTGTAGCCCATTCCAGCCTTGTGTAGGTCTACAATCTTGTCCCTGACATCCTTGGAGAGCTCTTTGGTCTTGGCCATGGTGGAGAGTTTGGAATCTGATTGATTGATTGCTTCTATGGACAGGTGTCTTTTATACAGGTAACAAGCTGAGATTAGGAGCACTCCCTTTAAGAGTGTGCTCTTAATCTCAGCTTGTTACCTGTATAAAAGACACCTGGGAGCCAGAATTCTTTCTGACTGAGAGGGGGTCATATACTTATTTCCCTCGTTAAAATGCAAATCAATTTATAACATTTTTGACATGCGTTTTTCTGGATTTTGTTGTTGTTATTCTGTCTCTCACTGTTCAAATAAACCTACTCTTTGTCAGTGGGCAAACATACAAAATCAGCAGGGGATCAAATACTTTTTTCCCTCACTGTAGGCCCACTGTTTCAAGCTTTGGTTGATTTCAAATGGAATTTACAAGTTAATAATACATATTTTGGATTCACCTCTTCACCTCAACCAAAAATCTAAGTTAAAGAATAGGACTAAATTAAATCAAACTGTATTTAAAGTGCATTTCAAATTTGACTTAGTCCCATTCTTTAACTTAGATGTTTGGTTGAGATGGAGAAGTGAATCCAACATATCAACTATTAATTTGTAGACAAACTAGAATTAAAGCCAGACTCAGTGGCACAGATGGAACATGTACATCTCCTTCAAATGTTGATATTTGGTTGCGTTGACAACAAAACAATATTCATTATCACTTTTACAATGCAGTAAATAGCCAGTTAACAAGTTAACAAATTATATGTTGGATTCACTTCTCCATCTCAACCAAAAAGAAAAGTTCAAGAATAGGATTAAGCCAGTGGATCAGATGGAACTATCCAAGCAGTAGATACATCTTCTTTAAATATTGATATTTGGTTGTGTTGTCAACCAAATACAACCAAACTCAATATTACCATTGTAATACAGTAAATAGCCTATAGTTAAGGCTATCTTACAAAGTAATGTAACAGTATTTATTCAACCTTAAAATTAGTAACACATCATGGCCACATTTTGTCATAGAAAGCATGCATGTTCAAGATAGCATGCAAAGGTTGCAGGTCTGTGGAAATCTTCACAAATGCTATAATAATCTGCAACGGCATTGATCACTTACACCATGTACTTTAATGTAATCTCAACTGCAATCCAGGTCATTTGGTTGTGCTATTAGATGAAGCACAGTGATAACATATAAAGGTGTCGTACAAATATTCAAAATATCTCACATTGTATACCCATTTGAGCTTTGTTGTGCTTTTAAATGGTTAAAAGCGCAGTGATAACACATTTAAGGTGAAAACTAAACGAAAAATCGGACATTTACATTTTCCATTGGAATTTGGTTGTGCTTTTAGATCAGGAATGGGCAAATTTGATGGGGGTGGGGACCACAAAGGAAGGAAGGGCCACGGTGGATCGCGGGTCTGCATACCGACATCCATACCCACACATGCAGTCAGAGCCCTAGCAAGCAAAACATTTTAGCGGCACCCCTCTTGACAGCGGAGAGTAAAAATATACGTTTTAGAGTAAAGTTCCTTAAATTCGATACATTTTGCCATGGGGCGTAGAGAAAATGTTGCAGTTTTAAGGCAAGTTTGCTGGAATTCTACATGTCACCATTGGCGGAGAAAAGATTTTGCAATTTTATAACACATTTCATGCAATTCTACTCATTTTGCCATGGGACGGAGAGAAAACTGTTCCGTTTTACAGCTAATTTCCTGCAATTCTACACATTTTGCCATAGGGTGGAGACGAATGTTTGCAGTTTTTAATATGATATCTGAGTGAGAGTGACTAACAAAACGGAGGGCCGACCACGCCCCCATTCACATCCACGGGGTTGTAGTGGAGCGGGTCGAGAGCTTCAAGTTCCTCGGTGTCCACATCCGTAAGGACCTATCATGGTCCAAACACACATAGTCGTGAAGAGGGCAAAACAACGCCTCTTCCCCCTTAGGAGGCTGAAAAGGCATGGGCCCTCAGATCCTCAAAAGGTTCTACAGCTGCCCTAAAAATGGTCAAAGACTCCAGCCGCCCAAGTCATAGACTGTTCTCTTGGTACTGGTACGAGAGCGAGTCTGGGACCAAAAGCCTACAGAGTAGCTTCTACCCTCAAGCCATAAGACTGCTGAACAGTTATTCAAATAGCTACCTGGACTATTTGCATTGACCCACTTTTATTTGGCACTGACATTCTTGCACGGGTTCTATGCACACTCACTGGACTCTCCCACACACACACAAAAATACAGACTCAAGCACATTGACGCCACACGCTGCTA